AAAAAATGCCACTGCTTTTAACCGACTCTATGCAAAAATGTGTAAAATTTATAAAGTTTATAAAATCTCGCCCACTCAACAATGGGAAGTGTACATCTTCTTTTACACTTCGAAGTGCGTTGGCTATCAAAAGGGAATGTGCGTTGGCTATCAAACATTCTTAGAACAACATCCACCAACGGCTAGGGATGCAATATTTCAACATAAAGACAGTTTTCATAATATTGATTGCTTTATCAAGGTAGCCTATCTTTCTGATATTTCAACTTTTGGAGCAATTTAAATATGACATTAAAATGTAGCAATGTAACTGTATTTAAAGTACAAGAGAAAAACTTAGTTTGTGGATATGTCGCGCGGAAGCAGGAAATTACAAACTTTACTTTACTTTATCGTGTCCGAACATGTCATCATATTGGTCTATTTTTCCCCATTATGCCATGTTTTATTTTACTGTAGCAACCCCCGTTCTTATCCTATTCAAGGTTTTCCACGTTTTAAAGTCTGGCCGGTCCATTGAACCTGGGGAAGTGAAAAATACTCAGGCGGTTCATCCTGCACTGTTCCAAGGAAGCTTTTCCTAGATTTTAGTCGCTTTCGTGGTGTTCGAGCTTTATATAGTGCATGCCGATCGTGCGCGATCTGTTTAATTTTCTCTATGTGTTCTGCAGCGCCTCTGCGTGTTGAGGATTCTGAAAAACCCGCTGCTCTATATAGATTTGAAAGTGGCGTTGGTTTTATGCACCCCGATACTATCCTGCTTGTCTCATTTAGCGCAGTATCAACTTGTTTGGTGTGAGCAGATCTGCTCCAAACGGGGCACGCATATTCAGCAGTTGAGAAACACAGTGCCTGTGCCGTTGTTCTTAAAACGCCAGGACGTGCGCCCCATTTACTTCCCGTTAGCTTTCTGAGTATGCTGTTCCTAGTTGTTACTTTCTCTCTTGTTTTTATGCAATGTTGTCTGTAGGTGAGAGACCGGTCCAGAGTTACTCCAAGATATATAGGTTGGTTTGTGTGTTCTAATATATTACCATTCCACACAATTTTTAGTTTTCGCTTGGTTTCCTTTGTGCGAAGGTGGAAAGCGCGGAGTTGGGTTTTAGAGGGATTGGGTCTCAGAGAATTCTGCAGGTAGTACGCTGTCATTGTTTTTAAGACGTTGTCATTGTTTTTAAGGCAGTTTCGAGTTTCTTCTCCACTTCTTCAAAACTATTTCCTTGAGCACGTATTGCAAGATCGTCAGCATAGAGGAAGTGCATGGTTTCGATCGGAGTAGGTTGGTCGTTTGTGTATATATTGAAGAGCATTGGTGCTAAAATACTTTCCTGTGGGAGGCCGTTTTTTTGAACTCTCCACCTACTTACTTTACCCTCCAGCATAACGAAAAAACGTCTATTTTGCAGTAAGGAATATACGACCTTTTCCAGATGGTGGTCATTGAGGGTGTCATATAATTTGCGGAGCAATGTTTTGTGCCTTACTGTGTCATAGGCTGCTGTCAGATCTACAAAAGCAGCCCCTGTTATAAGTTTTTCTTCAAAGCCCTCTCCAATTTGTTCTGTTAATGCGAGGACTTGGCCGGTGCAAGATTTGCCAGGTCTGAATCCTACTTGTTGTGGGATGAGGTGCTTGTCGACATTTTTTTCTATTCTGGCGAGTATGAGTCTCTCGTATAGTTTAAAAAAAGTGACACAATAGCGAAATAGGTCTAGGAAATTACAAAGCTGTTACAAAGCTACAAAAAGAGTATAACGGAAATTCATTACCAAATGAGATTTCAGCGGCTTTCAAAAAACACATGCTAGGACTGGTGGCAAATCTGAAGGAATATTTTTCCCCCATTCACAGCAACAAAATATGAATAAGGAATCCATTTACAATGGACGTAGAATCCGAGACAAGACTTTAGAATTTGGATAATAAGTTAGTAATTAAACTATCGTGATATATGGCACTCAAAGATATATTTAACAAAATATCACTTATAGATTTTTGGCTTTCTTACTGCTAAGAGTAGCCAGTTTTAGCAGGAGAAGCGATAAAGTTTCTAATTCTTTTTATTACGACCTATAAGTGTGAGGCAAAGTTTTTTATAAGTGTGAGCAAGTCGAACCCGACCTGAGGATCATCATCATCATCATCAATCAGCCAATCGCGTCCACTGCTGGACATAGGCCTCCCTCAGTTCTTTCCAGTGTTCTCTACACTGGGCCGCTTGTAGCCAGTTTCCCGCTACACGTTTAATGTCATCGGTCCATCTAGTCGGTGGTCGTCCTCGGCTTCTTTTATAATTTCTGGGCCTCCATTCCATAATACGTCTTGTCCACCGTCTATCTTGTGTTCTGGCTAAGTGCCCTGCCCAGTTCCACTTAAGCGTCGTGGTTCTTTCGATGACGTCTTGAACTCCTGATCTTCGCCTGATTTGTTGGTTTGTTATGTGGTCTCGAAGGCTCACGTTCAGCATTGCACGTTCCATGGCTCGTTGTGTAACTCTAAGTTTATTCGCAGATTTTTGCGTGAGTGTTAAAGTCTCTGCTCCATAAGTTTGTACAGGTAAAACACATTGGTTATAAACCTTTCGCTTGAGACACATGGGAATTGAACTTTTTAGAATATGGCTTAATTTGCCAAATGCTGCCCATGTTAGACCTATTCGCCTCTGTATTTCATGTGTTTGATTGTCTCTGCTTATTTTGATTTCGTGTCCCAGATATTTGTAAGTGTCTGTTTGTTGTATGGTATTATTGTCAATAGTTATATTTCCACTCATTACGAGATTTGTTATAATTTTAGTTTTCTCAAAGTTTATCTTTAATCCTGCTCTTTCAGACAGACTTTTAAGCGAATGCATCATAGAAACTGTATCATGTAAGTTATCTGCGATTAATACAACATCATCTGCAAACCTTAGGTGATTTAATCTTTCTCCATCTATATTGATGCCCATATCTTGCCATTGAGTACTCTTAAATATTGACTCTAGAGCTGCCGTGAACAATTTTGGTGAAATATTGTCTCCTTGTCTAACTCCTCGACCTAAGCTGAATTTTTCTGTGTCTTCGTGCAGTCGTATACTTGATGTAGCGTTCTGATAGATGTTTTTGATTAGTGTCGTGTACCTGTAATCTATTCGGCTTTGATTTAGGGCTTCCAGTATTGTTTCAAACTCTACAGAATCAAAAGCCTTCTCGTAATCGACAAATGCAAGAACCAGTGGTATGTTGTACTCGATGCACTTTTCTATTAAGATCTTTATGGTATGCAAATGGTCATTTGTGCCATATCCTGCCCTGAAGCCTGCCTGTTCTTTGGGCTGATAGAAATCAAGTTTAGGTGTTAGCCTCTTTGTTAAGATTTTCATAAAGAGTTTATACATATGTGTCAAGAGGCTGATGGGTCTATAATTTTCTAATTTAGTAATATCGCCTTTTTTGTGTAACAAGACTATTACTGCATTGTTCCAGTCTTTTGGAATCGTACCCGCATGTAAGCATTTAGTAAACAGTTCGCTTACTGATTTTAATAAAATTTCTCCACCTGCTTTTATTGCCTCGATAACGAGTCCATCATCACCAGGCGATCGATGGTTCTTCATTTCCTTTAAAGCTGCTCTTACTTCTGACACAGTAATGGGTAAAAGTATTTCCGATCCCTGATTTATGAGAGTCTTTACTCGTGTCGGGAAATTGTCTTGTGGTCTTTGGCTGGTATAGAGGTCTTTATAAAATTCTCTAGTTATTTTCAGAATGTTTTGTTTATCTGTTGTTGCCTTTCCGTCTTTATCTCTCAGCTTGTATATTTCTTTTTTACTTTGCGTAAGTTTTCTTTTCATTATCTTTAAACCTTTGTTCTCTTCTACTGTTTGAGTAATTACATTAGTATTATATCTTCTTACATCTTTTCTAATTTCCGCTGAAATTCTTTTATTTAGTTTTTTATATTCTTCTTTGTTTCCCTTTTCGTTCTCACTTAGGTTTCGTCGTAATTCCATGAGAGCCCTTGTATCTTTGCTAATCTTTGCACTTTTGGTGTCATTTTTCTTGCAAAATTTGAGTTGTGCGTTTCTAACTGAGTCTGCGTTTCTAACCTGAGGATAAAATTGACATATTTTCCTACAAACGTAAAGTTATTGCTTAACCAGAAACAACTGCGTATGTCTCATTAATAAAGTATTTGATTTTTATTTTGTTTTATTACATTTTTGTTTGAGCTAATGATTCTTTAACAAATATATAAAACTATAATAAATATTTTAATATGTTTTCATGTACACATTTACACCACGGCATTCAAAAAAATTAGTAGGTCACGAAGATTAAGCACAAAAATAACCGGGTAACAGAAAAATAAGTTTTGGAAACGCTGGTCTAGGGGATCCCGCACTGTTCCGATCAAGCCGGTGGAACGATTCACAGCGAGACTTTACCGAGTTGAGAGATTTCTGAAAGCACACTATATAAAAAGAACAATTTAGATTTTAGAGGCAGTCCATAATATAAATTTGTATCATTACGTAATAGATGTTATAAATAAATTGTGTTTTTAGTGTTGGTATTAGAACACTGTAAATAAATTAAAGTAAACATTAAAATACTGTAATGAGTAAGGACTGACAAATGATAGGCTATTCTTTTTACTACGGATTATAAAAATAAAGCAATAATATTCAATTTAATTAGAATCATTGTGAGAAGAATTTTACATCGATTCGAAAATTTAAATCGATCTGTTTTGTATTTTTTCCAAACTGCATCAGGGACAAAATTATGAATTTTACACACTTTTGGGACACACTGTATAATAGATGTAGATTTTAATTAAAATGTACGCTTACAATTGATATAAACTCTATCGGGCCATCAATTAAATTTAGAGTTTACTACACTCTGATCATATATAGCTCGCGCCGGTTCTGAACATAATTTTAGCGTATGATAACGAAGTTGGTGGCGATGAATCATGGGCAAATACATCGCAGATCGCGTTATGAATACACCGCGAACATGGAGACAACAATAAACAATAAAACGTTGACCGATCCTATGAAAACAAAAGATATGATAGAAAATAGTGAAAGTGGACGATATGAAACTACTGAAAAGTGTCAACAGTGGCTAGAAAAGTGTACAATTAGTGATGATTGTTCGGTTTATTCGGATTCAGATAGCTCAATTTTCACAGACTCAACTTCAAATAGCGCCATGGATTCAGGCTTTACTTTTCAGGATAACGGGGTAGTTGTAGCGAATAGGATATTTAGTAGTAATAATGTAAGTACATAGCTAGGATTTTATTTAGAAATTATTATTTGTGTTATCGGGAGTACTATAGGAGAAAAGTAAATATAAAATATCGATATTTATTTATTGTTGTCGACAGTCTGATTGTTGTCTAAAATCGTAAACAAAACGCGAAATCCCTATCTAACATCCTGTCTGAACTTCGTGTATTTATTTTTAGCAACATATTGGGTTTCAAATGAAATTTATTTTATTTAGAAATACTTTGTTTTGAATTGTATATAACAGTAATAAATATAAATTTCACATTGACCGGAAATGAAAAATAACAATGGACCTCCAACTTACATTGGTTTTCCTCTTATAATTGAATTTAGATTACATAACCAAAATTAATAAAGCGATTACTTTTTGAGGATTTATAAAATTTTTAAATAGGTGGTGAAATTGTTATTGATGATGTGACTAAGAAACTTCAAAGTTATAATAGATATAAGAATGTTAAAACCAGGAAAAATTAAAATAAAAAGGAAATGAGCCAATCATTTTCAGCAGTATTGTCTGTAATAATATAATAATGTATGCCTTAGAAACAACCAACGTCATACTAATAAGGTAACTAATACCTAATAAGGCAAGTAAAACTGAAAACGTTCCAAAGGAAAATAGTAGATTAAAAAGTATCAAATGAAGACAACAAGAATATGAAAGAACCATCAAGTACAAAAATATATAAAAAGTGCAAACAAGAAGACAAATATGGAGCTTCACATTCTTAAGAATAAATATCATTTAGTAAAGGATCATTATTTTATATTTTCAATATTATTATATGGAGCTAAGACTTGGACATTAAAAAAATGTAATTTAAAAAGAATCGAGGCCTTCGAATTCTGGTTATACCGCAAAGTATTGAAAATATCATGGACTGATAGAATTACAAATAAAGAAGTACTGGAGAGAGTTCGTAAAGAAACAGAAGTCCGTAAAGAAGACTCATAAACATTCAAGGAAGAAGATCTGTTGGCCGAAGGCAGAACTGATGGTTAAAGAATCTACGTGATTGGTATCAATGCAGATCGATTGATTTGTTTAGAGCAGCAAGTTCTAAAATAAAAATAGCCATTATGATTGCCAACCTCCGTAGGGAGACGGCACTCTAAGAAGAAAAAAGGATCACTTTTCATTAGTCCGCTAAATCGGCGCAACCGCGATAGAGCTAAAGATGTGTGGCAGTTACATTGGATAATAGTATTTGTACATATATGTAGATGCAAATGCACCCCCTTGAAAAGCGGATGCACCCTCCTGAAAATAATCCTGGCGGCGCCCAGATCCATTGATAAAGATTTTTGATCAAATCACTTTTAATTAAAAAATAAGTTAGCTGTTTAGAAGGGGGGTTATATGACGCCTTTCATGAATCTAAACTGTGTGTCTTGTATTCTCTTCGCATGGCTTGTATATTCTACGATTTATAACTTTAAGAAAAAGTTTTGGTGTATAACTCATTAGACTTATGTCCGCACTTTTTCGCTCCCTGTTTCTTTGCTAACGTAATAAATTTTGAAACTAGCCAATCTTTTGAAATACTTTGCCTGTGTCATAGATATTATTGAAGATTTTACAGAGTATTCTTAAAGATTCATCATCAAGAAGTTTAAGAAATTCAGACTGTACTCCATCTGGTCACGGAGCTCTCCCTTCTTTTAGTGATATTATGGCTGCTCTTATACCCTCTTATCAAAAAATAAATTTCGTATGTAATTTTTCAAAGTATTATCATTGGCAAATATATCTACAAATAATTACCACTACAATTGCATATCCCATTCGATTTCATCAACCGATGTATAACCTGTTTAAAGGATTTTTGTGGCAGTTGTTCGAAGAATTCTTTTACGCCATTTGGTACTTCTTAGTCCGACTGAAAACAGTTACATTTTAACGCCTTTTTCAGCGCCCCAAAGATGTCAAAATTGCAAGGCGATAAATTTAGACTATCGATTCGATTCTCTAATATCCTCCACTTCTTTCGTCGTAGATTCTCTTTCACTACTTTGGCAATATGGCAGATTCAACCCATGATTCATTATTATCACTTGATTATTCTTCCTTTTTCTTACTTACTTTTTTCTTCGTCACTTTCCGTTTCTGTTTTTTAACAAAGTTTTTTTCTTCTCTTTTCTTTTGTCTCTCTTCTGCTCTTTTCTATTTTTCTTCTTCTTTTTCCACTCTTCTTTTTTACTGCGGATACTCTGGGTTCAGGCCAAAACAGTATGCATTTAAAAGGAGAGGGTATAATTTCATTTGATGTAGAAGGTGTAGGTAATTCTTCAATTATCAAAAGACTGATATTTTTTGTACACACTTATGACAAGTCAAAAGAAAATGTAAAAAAGTATTTTTGAAGTGTGTATATTTTAGGCAATTCCTAGCTGAGCGCTTTCGGCTTTACAAAGCCATCATCAGAGCTATGGTCAATTTATAAATACCACTACAATGGAGAGATCTCATTTCCTTATATTTCAAAATTATGATTTTTTTAGTTGTTGAAATTCTTAAAACATATAAAAAACATATAAAAAGCCGACACTGGACTTCACAAACACGTTAAAAAAATTCAAAAAATTTTTTTGTCATGGTACGGGTGTAAGAACCCGACCATTGATTGATGTGAGGAGGTAAACAGAATAGAACTCAGTTCTATTCTGTCCAAAAAAAATATTTTGGGCATGTTATGAGAGCAAACACAGAAAACATGGAAAGACTCAAAATACAAGGAAAGGTAGAAGGCCGAAGATCACGAGGAAGATCCCCAACAAGATGGATAGATCAAATTACAGGAATATGCCAAAGACCTATGCATAAATTAAAAGAAATGACCAGAGACAGAGATCTCTGGAGACGGACAATACACGACATCACGTCGACCACTACACTCCCCCTGGGGGGTCAGGATTGAAGAGAGATGCAAACATTGCATAAACTTTCCTTCTTGTCTGACAAAATGAGACCATGCCGTGTGAATGGTCTCAAGGCGTGATATACCCGTTACTATAAAAAATGGCGATCAGCTCTAGTATGACAACTACAGAGGTATAACCCTGTTAACAAATTTACACAGTGGGCATGGTCTCTGGGTCAGAAGTCATCACGAATATAATATCCCTAATTTCATTTATAATAATAGTATGTCTTGATCAAATCATTACTGTACTCAGGATTTTTTAACTGCCTTTTTTTTAATACTTTAAAGTATTTGTTTATTTCTGAAAATCTTTATGGTAATGCAAGTTCAGTTAGTGATTGCCGCTTTAATTTAAATTTAACTATCCGAGATTTTATGTTTTATATATACTTATACCAACTTATCATACGAAGATAACAGAAAATTGCCGTTTCTAACCATAAATGTTATTTTATTTGTTATCTCGTAGAACTAATAAATTTTACAATCAGTTACAGCTGTAATAAACTGTAAAATATAGTACACATTAATCTAAATTGTCTATCTTACTTCAACACAAAATAGCAAACGTTGATTTGTGTTTAAATAAAAAACTGAGTTCCCATTGATCATAGAATAAAAGTAGCAATATCGCTAGAAATTTACCGAAAAACTATAAATTACCATGATTGTTTAACTACTAATATAATGTCAAACGATATTTTAAGCAAATGAGATCATAACTTGCTTTACATTTTCATTTAGTTTCTAAGCTAAAAGAAAAACCCCTTCAGAGTTACTTCGACTAACTTGGCCCTGGGTCTGACCTCCTTGTTTTTCGAACTTGGAGTTCTTCGAAATTCAATGTGGTCGAGACCAGCTGATCACCACCTTTTTCATACTAGGTCATCGGGATTGAATCGTCCGTTAAAACATATCTCTACCACGTTGTCCTTCTTTTGCCCGATTCTCAGTCATATCAAATAAAATAAAAATAAAAACATTTCTTGCGCTAATAATAAATACATTTCACACTTAAATCTAACTTAAGATATCTTAGTCTTCTTTCTTGACGTCCCGCTGTTGCACTGCCTGATGTTGGTTTTTCTTCCCCTCGGATCTTGAATTTTCTGTCATTGACTCCTTGGTTTCTTCTTTTGTAGGTACTTATTTGTGGCATCGTACCTACTTTCCTGCTTCGTTGTCTCCTGCAACCACCCGGCTAGACTCTGATCAGATGGACGATCAGTCTGTGGGTTTGTCTAAACATCCTCTGGACCCGATTTTTTTGCGAGGATGTCCTTGGTCTTTAGGAGTCTTCTTGTGGCTTGGTGGAAGAAGTATTTGGTCTTTTTCTCAGCCACATCCATCAGTGGTGTATACTGGAGCCTTTTTTGATGGTTGTATTGGATGGATATTCTTTCTTCCCATGTTTATCCGTCGATGATTCTGTACCATGATGTTTCTGTAGCTTTAAGTCTCCTCCAATTGTACTCCGTTATCGAACTCCAGAGTGGGACAGGATATAGTATCAACAATCTACCGTAGTCCTGATATAATTGGATCTTCTTGACCTTCCTTAGTAGAATGGTCCTGAAAATATAAGGAAGTATTAGTTTTAAAAGAGAAGAAGAAAGTAGTAGAAGTATTAGAAAGTGCTAAATTTGGACTCATGGTTAACTACAACAAAACCAAAATCATGGTTATTGATCGCCAACAACAGTTTCCTAAAACCCAAACTATTGCGGGATGCGAGGTAGTCTCATCTATGATATATCTTGGAGCTCTAGTTAACAACACAGGCAGTTGTGAATCCGAAATTAGAAGACGCATTCAACTAGCAAGAGCAGCAATGAGTGAACTAAACGGGGTCTGGCGTGATCGTCACATTACTATGACAAACAAAAAGAGACTCGTTTCAACTCTGGTCTTTTCCCTATTTTACTATGCATACGAGACATGGACAGTCAAAGAATCAGATCGACGACGTATAGACGCCTTTGAAATGTGGACATGGAGACGCCTGCTTCGAATTCCATGGACGGCTCGCCGTACAAATATCTCGGTTCTGGATGAAATTAAACCGGATCAGCGTCTCTCCAATACCGTTTACTCTAGAATTTTTAAAGTTCTTTGGCCATATCCATCGAAGTGATCACAAAATGGAGCGGTTGGTGGTCCAAGGAAGGCCTCAGACTCAACGCCAACGCGAAAGATCTCCACAGCGATGGGCGAACATTACTAAAAAGCTTCTCAATAAACAGTATACTGAGGCAATACATATAACTGATGACCGCGACCAGTGGAGAAATATTATCAATCAAACTGTCCGAGCTGCTGAAGCCCAATTATGAACCACAACACATCTACTAAGATGTTAATGACTGTGAATATGATTAGTTTTTTAGCAACAGTAGCTGTTACCTTGGTTTTCTATGTATGCAAATGGAAGTTTAGTCTTCTGTCGAGGTGAACTCCTGGATACTTAAATGAATCTCCTGATTGGATCCCGTTTCCTCCTACTGTGATTTCTTGCAGTGGTGCGCTGTTTTCCTGAGTGAACATGATGAATTGTGTCTTCTCTGCGTTGATTTTGATCTTCCATTTTTCGATGTATTCCGTGATTTTTCCGAGTTGGTTTTCTATATTTCTGACAAATCTTCTGTCATCCTTTCCTGTTGCATACACTGCCGTATCATCTGCGTAGAGGGCTGTAGATGTTTTTGGATATGTTTGTAAATCTGAAACAAATGTGTTATATAAAATGGGCGATAAAATACTGCCCTGTGACATCCGTTCTTGGGTTTCTTAGATCATCGCCATCTTTTGGTCCGCTGAACCAGGGAGCCGGATGACAGGAGACTGCATCTCCTTTTGCGGCAGACTCCATCCACGGTCGGTGTACCATTTCTCCCAGCTGGTTCGTCTTTTTCTCTGCAATCAGGTTCCCATCTACTTATCCTGGGGTCTCGTAGGCGAGTTTGCACATATCGGGAGGGCAGGCAGGGACTGTGACTACTTCAGCATCTCCGTAGCGTCGAAGAAGATGTCTTTGAGACATCTGGCACACGGAACGCATCAAGACTGCTGCAGAGCTCGATGGCGGAGTGTTAGAGTATAGATTTCTAACATTCCGTGGCTCTCCCCACTGTTCTCTTGACTTCAACCCATGTTGAAGTCAAGGCTGTGGTACCTTCTGTGAATCGAGCTGGGTGGTAGGTTCGAAATAATGCACGTTGTTGGGCGCCATTTCGTCTCGAGGTAATTAATAAGGGTCTATACACCTGAGTCCTCGGACACTCTGTAAAGGCCTTCGAATATAACAGTTAAATGCTCCTCTACCCAAGTCCATTTACTGGATATAGAAATAGAGCCTTGTAGAATACTAGTCAAACGTAGTGTACTCGAGCGTAGAAATCAAAACGTCAAAGCAAATTAGAAAATATAATTTTCATTACAATTAATTGTGGTTTAATTCCATATAAAAAGATATCTATGTTTTCTGCTACCTCTACCAGTCTCTGAAGTTTCTCCTTCACTGCACTTGTTGCTGTAGTGAATGGTAGTATATTATGTTCATATCATAATACCTGATGAATTTCATTTCTTAACGAGCCTTTTGTGTTCAATCCGCTCTTTCGTGAATGTAGCGAACATGGTATAAATGAATTGACACTAAATAGTAAAAAGAAAAAAGAATAGAATAATCGCATGAATATAATGGAGGAGACCAAAGTAGACAAAATAGCAGGAGATAAAAATCAATCATCAATCAATCTATCAATCAATCTATCAAACGGTTGATATATCGGCCGACCGCGCAAAAGATACTGTGACAACTTTCTATAGAGAAATGACTTCGCCAATTAAATTAAATTGTTTAGACCGATTAAAGACGATTTGTTTAATTGATTTGATTCACTAAAAAATATGCACTAAATTGTTATGTTGTGTATTCTCCTTGAGTACTATAATTAATAATTTATCATCAGTTGGCTACAGCCCTTCGTGAGCCTTGGCCTGCTTCAAAACATTCTTCCATCCTTCCCTACCGAGTGTCTGTCTTCTTCAGCCCCTCACTCCAATCTCCCTCAGATCTTCCTGTACTTCGTCCAGATATCTGAGTTTAGGTCGCCCCCTTCTTCTTCTTCCGACCGGCCTGTTTAGCATAGTTATTTTAGTGGGATCACTCTCATCCATACGCATAACGTGGTCCACCCACCTTAGGCGGTTTATTTTGATGGTCTTCACATTATCTGCATCACCAAAAAGTCTATAGAGTTCAAAGTTATATCGCCTTCTCCACAGACCCTGTTCGTTTACTCCGCCATATATGGTCCTCAATACTTTTCTTTCAAAGACTCGTAGTAACTCTTCATCTCGGGTCGTCATTGCCCATGTTTCCGATCCGTATGTGAGCACTGGGCATATTATTGTTTTATAAAGTTTGCACTTTGTTGCTATTGACATACTTCTCGCTCTTAGTTGAGGGCCCAGGGCAAAATAACAGCGGTTAACCACGCATATTCTTTTTTTTTATCTCGTAGGATGTTATTTTTGTAGTCTACCAGTGATCTTAAGTAGCAGAATTCTTCTACCATTTCTATCGTTTCGTGTTGCACCTCTAAGTTATTTTGTTGAATTCTTGATATGACCGGCATATATTTAGTTTTCTAGATGTTAATCAGAAGTCCGATGTTTTCTGCGGCATTTTTGATACGTGTGAAACCCTCCACTGCTTCATTTTGGGTTCTTTCAATTATGACATTATCATCAGCGCATAAATACATTAATAATTTAGGTTAGACAAAAATTGCTTATTATTCAATGCTAATCAGATTGTAAAATTAACAAACAGTTTAGTTGAGATTTATAATAAAAATATTATACTTTAAATATGGAATCTACTTTTTGTAACACACACTAAATATGTGTTCTATATGTATCAGAACGTAACTGTTAGTCAATACGAGTACAGGAAGGTCAGATTGATTTATTCGGATCATAATAATTATTGTACATATTAGCTGCACATATCCCAAAGAATTGATATTAAATATTGTCATGTTTATTGTCTGATATCTATTAATAAAACGTAAAATAGCTTATTCTGTAATGTTTGAAGTTCTAATAAAACTTAATAAGACATTACAAGCTTTAACTTTATTTACAATTTTACTAATTCTGTCACTTTCTTACGCTGTAAACAGTCCGAAATCGAATGATTATATTTATATAAGGTTTTTATTTATAGAAGCCATTTTTATATTAGAAGCCATTCATTGTTCGAAATCCATATTCTGTTCATAAGTCTATCAGTCCCTTTCCGTTATCATTGACGACATTTTTGCCATGTTATCCTACTAATTACTTATTATTGGTCTGATGACTGTTTTGTAAATTCTGCCTTTCATTTTTTTCTCGATATGTTTAATTTTGCATATTGTTTCATTTTAAGTTAAATGATAATATTTAGTTATTTAGACCGTTTTCTTTTTTTCAGGATCATGGCACAGCGATCGTGATTAAAGATAGTACACCCAAATATGACAATACTTCTATTAACGTTTACAAATCGAAGAAAGTGCATGTAGGTGACGTTACGGTAATAAAAGGGCCAGTGTTATTCAACAATAGCAATTCAGCGTATAACGACAAATTACTCTCTATTCCATACTCCGAGCCTTACGTGGACACTTTCATAGTAGATAGAATCAATTGGTTAGCCCAGCCCCCCTTAGGAGAACGAGAGAAGTTAGAAGAACCTGTTAAATATGTTATTATAGGTAATTTATTTTCTGATACAACCTTACCACAGTTTTTTTATACAAATATAAAAATAGAAACAATTTTTGATGCTGAATTCGTCTAATAAATATATAGATTGGTTTGTCAATCTATGTTGTATTTAAATAATGAATGGGTTGCACATGTGTATCCATTTCAATTTCGGTGAAAGAAACAAATCTCCTCCTCAATCTTTTAGCCCTTGTCAGCCTTGTCTTCTACTACCAGTAGTTCCATGGTGCCCGTTCTTCTAGCTATGTGGCCGAAGTAAGTTAGGTATGCTTGGTTTACTTTTTTTAGTAGCCTGCCTTTTATATGAAGCTCTTCCAGAATTGACAGGTTGGTTCTATGTTCTGTCCAGGACACGCGTAGAATTCTTCTATATACCCACATATCGATTTTTTTGATAGTCCATGTTTCGGCTGCATATGTAGCATTGGGAAAAATAAGGGCATTGACCAACCTGAGCTTAGTATTCCTTGTTATTGTTCGATCTTTCCATATTTTAATTAATTTAGCAGTTGCGGTTCGGGCAATTCCTAGTCTACGTTTGATTTCTGAGGAACAATCACCATTGTTGGTTATCAGAGAGCCCAAGTATACAAATCTGTCGACTACTTCGAAAATCCCTATTTGGCGTATATGCGGTAGATTATTATTTGCTCTGTCTACAATCATTATTTTTGTTTTTCCGGTGTTGATTTGAAGTCCGAATTCTTCACTTATTCGGCTTAGCCGTTCGATGATGGTAATCATTTCGACTTCATTCGCTGCTAGTATAAGTGTGTCATCTGCGTATCGCAGGTTACTGATTTTTCTGCCTCCTATAGTGATTCCTCCATCCCATTCATCTAGTACTTTTCTCATTATATATTCAGAATATATGTTGCACAATAATGGTGATAGTATGCAACCTTGTCTAGTTCCTTTCTCTGTTTTGAATGCATTTGAATATATTCCATGTACTTTAACTTTGGCTGAGTTTTAATTATACAGATTTCTTATTAGGTTAACTAGGTGGTTAGGTACTCCCATATTTTCCATTATACTCCAGAGAGGATCCCATTTTACTGAATCAAAAGCCTTTGTGTAATCTACAAAACAGAGCAACATTGGTATGTTATGTTCTCTCGCTTTTTCTACTATCTGTCTGGTGTTGAGTATTTGCTCACGCGTTCCCTTTCCTGGTACAAATCCACATTGTTCTTCGGCTATCTCTGGAAGTAGAAAGTTCTTTAGCCGTTCATTGATTATATGTAGCAGGATTTTGCTTGCATTAGGGATAAGGGCAACGGTTCTGTAATTGCTGCATATGGTTAGTGATCCTTTTTTATGGATAGGGATCAAGGTTGATTCACACCACTCATCAGGCCATTCACCTGTGATCCATATCATGTTGCACATATCCAGCATTACATCTACGCCAATTTCGCCTATTACTTTTAGAGTCTCCGCTGTTATGCCATCGATTCCTGGAGTTTTTTGTTTCTTAGTTGGTTAAGAGCCTTCTCTACTTCTGCTCGTAAAATGATTGGTTCAGCCTCTCTGATTGCATGTTTTTTGTGTTCTGAGACTTATGCATCATCTTTTGAAGTGTCTTTGTATAATTCTGAGCAGTAATTTTTCCAGGTCTCTGCGATGCTCTCTATGTCGGTTTTTACTTCTCCATTAGAGTCTTGAATGGCTTGAAGTTGTGGCTTGAACTCTAGGGCTAAATATTTAACTTTTTTAAATAGTTCATGACTTTCATGGCGGTTTGCATGTTGCTCCAGTTCTTGACACACGTTATTTATATGGTTGTTTTTATCTCTGATGCACATACATTTTATTTTCCTGTTTATCTCCGCTATCTCCGAAAGTTTATCTCCGAAAGAAACAAATAGTCGCAATCACTTTATTTTACCTTGGATGACAGGTTTCGGATACTACAATTTGCTATGCATCATCAGGTCTCCAGAAAGGTAACAAAATGCTAAAATATAATTTGCTAATAATATGGTACTTTAACCTGCTATTATACAGGTTAAATTATGCCAATATTATGTGCAGTTTTTAACGTTATGTAAAAATTACTCACATGCTGATACAAGGAATGTTGATATATTTATGTGAAAGTATACTTGAAGCTCAGTTATGGTTGGCTGATTTCTGATTACTACCGGCGGTACTGAATTTGACAAATGCAAGAAATTTCCTAATATTCTTGAGAGAAACATTAGGAAAACAACCAGCATAGTATTAATTAATTAACTTATTAATTAATTTGGTTTTTTATTGTCAAAATGTTGGTCATTATAGGTCATACTGCCACGGAGGAAGGTTTTACTCAAGCCGACAACACCCTTCTAGTTAGACTAATCCAAACTTTCCATATAGAAAGTCGTAAGTGGAAAGATATAGCTTACAATTTTCTCATTGGTTCTGATGGCTTAGCTTATGAAGGACGAGGATGGGGAGTCATAGGATCACATACAAGAAATTTTAATAGCAAGTAAGTGGTATTTTGGATCTTTAGTAAGTTTGAATGTTTGGTGGTGGGTTTAGAACTTCTGAACTTTCACTGGGCAGGTGGACCTCCACCTGCCCAGTCCCTAATTAATGAAGTCGTGCGAATATTCGAATAAGAAACAGTTGTTTCGTAAACGAACGATATCTTAAAGCTGACCAATGATGTGTAGTCGGTATTATATCTCTTATATAAGTTAGTCAGGTTATTAATACAGGAATCCTTTTATGTGTATTACTTGATTTTTCTTGATTAATCGATTAATCTTTCTCTTATGATTGGAGATTTAACATGTTTCATTTTAAACACAATATAAGTTATTTGCCATTCTTTTTAGGTTTTATAATCCTTATATTTTTTTACATTTTTCATTAGTATTATCAATTCATTTCTATTTTAATATACTAGTCATACGATTCTGCTTTTCTTGTACGATATTTAAAGTATGTTGTTTTTTCTTTGTATAGTAAAACCTCCGTTAAAGAAATTAATTGGGGGGATGCCGTTTCGAATAACAAGAATTTCGGTTAAGATTAACATTGTTTTTAGTATTCTTCTTGTATCAAATTGCATAGTATTCTTCGTCAAAGTTGGTATTAAAAAATACTATGTGATTTCGTAAATGCCAGAGGAATGGACAGTTGGCCTCATACAGCCAATATATAAAAAATGAGATAAGAGGAAATGCCAGAATTATAGGCCAATTATATTGCTAAATGTAATATACAAACTTCTTTCTGGTATAATCTACAATAGATTATTAGAATACTCCGAAAATATAATTGGTGATTATCAAAATGGATTCAGACCAAATAGAGCCACATAACATATTCATACTAAGAACGATACCAGAAAAAGCTTATGTATACGACATAGACCTATATAATATGTATATAGACTTTAAACAAGCTTTTGATAGTGTGAAAAGAAACAGAATGCTGAAAGACCTTTGTAATCTAGGTATACCTAAGAAATACATCAGCCTCATAAAAATGACGTTGCAGGGTCCAAAAGCCGCAGTCAGAGTAGATGGAGAACTGACTCCCCTGTTTAACATCAACATGGGAGTAAGACAGGGAGATGAACTATCAACCATGTTATTCAACCTAGTTCTTGAGGCAGTCATCAGAAAAACCAATATAACCGGCCATATAAACACCAAATCAGTACAAATTACTGCATATGCAGACGATGCAGCCATCAGTAGTAGGAATAAGCCACGACTAATAGAAGTGTTCAAACAAATTGATACTGAAGCAAGAAGAAGAGGTCTCAAAATAAACGAAGCAAAAACGATGTATATGACAGTCAGAAGAATAACTGACAATGAAAATAATATCACAATAGACAACTATACTATCGAACGAGTGGATGCCTTTACATATCTCGGCACAGAAATCAATCAGAAGAACTCCATAAGTAGCGAAATTAATTCACGTATTTCCAGCAGGAATCGTACATACTATGCTAATAAAAGATTGATGACATCGAAATTATTAGACAAAAGAACCAAAATGACTATCTACAGAACACTGATTAGACCCGTAGTAACCTATGGATGTGAAACTTGGGTAATGAAAAAAGATGAAGCCCAACTCAGGACATTCGAGAGAAAAATACTGAGGAAAATATATGGCCCGGTACAAGAGGAAGATGGCACTTGGAGAATCAGGAGAAACGACGAGGTTAATGAGTTAAATGAAGGTTATGACATTGTAAGATTTGTGAAAAGTCAAAGACTGTCATGGCTGGGACATGTGCAGAGACAAGATGACGCAAAAACAACAAAGAAAATTTTACAATGGAAGCCCATAGGAAGGCGAAAAAAAGGAAGGCCCAGAACGAGATGGTTGGATGACGTGGAAGACGACCTGAAAACAATGAACATAAGACAATGGAGAAGAAGGGCACAAGAGAGATGTGAATGGAAGGACATAGCCAGACAGGCAAAGACCCATCCAGGGATATGATGCCAAAATAAGAAGAAGAAGAATGTGATTTCGTAATGTTTTCTATTAAGTAAATACAGAATAAAATAATAAAATTAAGAAAAATAAACAAGTTTAACATGCTTTTTGAATACTTCTATTTTCTTCTGCGTTTTTCTTTGACAACGATGATTTGCAGCTGTATCTCTCCATCGTTTCATTTGAAGAACGTCATGAGGTTTTGCCTCATTCGATTGTTCAACGAAAAGTAAAGTAATCTGAAAAAGACAAAAACTTTATGCAATGACAACAAAAATTAAGAACTTAGTCGTGTCCCTAACTAATTAGGTTTAATGTATAAAATTCTTGTCCTTAAGGCATTGAAAGTCTCGTTATCGGCTTCATGCTGTCTGTTGGGTCTTCATCTTCGTCGTCTGATACGCTCAGGTTGTCTGGACGAAGAACCATATCAATGATGTCCTGGTCGATGATCTCACTTTCTGAGTCATCGGCTGCTAACCACTCACGTATTTCTTCTTGGTTAATTTCGTCACATCCCGGGAATTTTTGTTATTAAAGGTTTAATTTCTTCTGTAGTTTCTTTGCCATTTTCTTCTTCAGGATCGTCAATCAAAATCCAATCAAAAAGTTAGTTCCAGAATTTTTCCAAAGTTAAAGAGTTGATCTTGGCCCAGAACTCAGTACACCGATAAACAACATGTTTCATTGTTAAAGATTTAAGAATTTCGGAAACACTTTTGGATTCTTCGTCTCCTGTAATAACATATGTCTTCAGAAGGCTCCTCTATAATGTCTCTTGCATGTCTCTATTACTCCCTGGTCTAACGACTGAATTAAGCTCATGACATTCATTGACAAAAAACTGACAATTGTCACCATTTTGTAGATTTTGAGGGTGAGTTGGCACATTGTCAACAAGCAGCAATGCTTTGATGGGAAGGGTTTTTTGATTTAAAAAGGATTTTCATGAGCTTTTTTGGCTTCTATAAAAACTGGAAATGTTTTTTGGGAAATATCTTTTAGAGCTCTTGGTATTTTTAATTTTTCAACACACATAGGCATCAATCGGTGAGTGAAATAAATGGAATTGTTTACATAATTGATGGATTCGACCGTTACTTGATGGAAATTCATTTTATGTAACAACAAAACACTGAAAACTTTGTTTTTTCCACAAAATTTATTTTAAATCTTATCATTACAGCTGTTTCGGCTGATTGCCTTTCTCAAGTGATCTATTTTTGGCTTGGGTTCACAAATTTATAGTCTCTAATGAAATAGGTTGAGGAGGGGAGAACTGTTTGTCTCAAGTTGGTCATTCAGAATTATATCTGTGTTTTTTAATTTGTTGATTTCCATAGATTCTAACAAAGATAGCTTAAGGCCTTTATTTTGACTGTGAAGAATTTTAAATTTGTCAGTAAAAGAATGATTATGATCTAGAAGGTGAAGTGCGTATGTCGAATCTGTTTTTCTATTCTTGAAACCCTTTTATGTTCTGCTATTCGTTTATCAAAGTTTCTACCAGTTTGACCGATGTAAGTTTTTGGGCGGTCGCCACATTGAAGTTTGTACACATCACTATTTAAGTGTTTTTTATTTTGGCTCTTGTTATTTTTAATATATTTGCCTAGGTTGTTATTTGTTCGTTTGTTCGTTATTCGGAATTGTTTACGTTTTGCGATAAAAATTTACTTTTTATTAACGAAATTATGGAAACTGTCAGCCGTTTAGGTTAAACGATGTTTCGCTTAAAAAGGTTTCGGTTAAGGGAGGTTTCACTGTAGTTTTGTTTAATACCCACGTTATCTTTCTCTGCTATAGCTGTTGCTTTTGCTCTTATTTGACTTTTATAATTCACATTAAGTAATGTCAAATTTATTTTGTGATCTCACTTTATTACTTTTTTTATTCTAATTTAAACGCTGCTTTTGAATTCCTCATTCCTGTTTTGAACTCATGCATATTGTTCCTAACAGCATACAATGCAACGACTCAGTTTGGGTAGAATACTCATTTAATTTTTTTAAAGGGTTTGTTGGTCTTTTCCAATTCGAAATTTTCTTTATTCGAAACCGTTAATCTCTTTTATAACTATCCAAAATTAATAATTTAAAAATGTTTACTATTATTAAGAAATATTTGTATCCCCAAACTTGAAACAAATGTTTAGAAAGTATATTAAATATGTGATAAATATTTATCAATATAATGACCCTGAATTGTAATTAATTCCCCTGTGCAAACTTCTCATTTATATTGTTAACCAAAACCGCAGTCTAATCATGATAAATACACTATTACATTTGAAGGACACTACGAAATGTTTATAGGCTTCCTACACGCAATCACATCGTCCTGCTTCGCTCTTGATGACGATATTAGTCGGGAAGAAATCTTAAAAATGTAAATTTTAAAAATGTTTTAGTAATTGTAAATTCTTTAGAAAGTTTTTTCCCGACCTATACTTTATATTTATATACTATTATATTATAATATATCTAAATCTAGAGCTAACTTTAATACTACATGAACTAATATTAAACCCACAAGTGTTTCGGGTTGAACCTCGTCGATTATCATTGCGCCGAGCTTTCGACATCTTCTTCGATGTCTTCAGGGCTTTCGAGGTCTCAGTCTCCCGAGCCCCCCGACACTACCACACTAATCACTAATCTTTACTTCCCCTGAAAGAACTTCAGTTAAATCCAAATCTAGTCATTCTTCCCGTCCCGCCGAAAGGGCAATGCCACGGTCATCCTAAACACTTCTTCTTATATTAATAAACTCTCAAATCTCATTAATGCTCTCGACTACAGACTAATTCCTAATAATTAAACAACCTATCTGCAGAAAACAACAAAAGCCATTATCAAAACCTATCTTGCAGTTGACATAAAACAATCTGTAATTCCTCGTGAAAAGTCTTCCAGAACAGCTCGAATATACGGCCTACTCAACATTCACAAACCCGATATTCCTCTACGTTCCATTGTCAGTGCATACAGCTGCCCTACACAACCATTGGCCAAGTAT